TATGCATGCTTAATTTTAGACAAAGAATGCAAAACACACATTGGAAAAAGATCCCATTCTACACATGATGCTGCAACACTGTTTTTCTGCCTGAGAAGATGAATTTAGATTCTTACGTTTCACCTTGTACAAAAGTAAACTTGAAACAGAGCAAAGACTATATTAAATTCCAAACTTGAAACACCCAAACTTCAAGAAGACAACCTAGGGGAAACCCTTCCAGATGCTGGGATAGACAAGAGCATCAGAATAGGACAATATCAGAGTAACTAATCAGGCCATGCATCAGCATGAAAATCAAGTCTCTTCACAGCACAGGACACAGTCAGCAGAGTGACCAGAAGCCACATCAGGAGGAAAGCTGTACCAGCTGAACTGTAGACAAGGACTCGAGTCCTCAATTTACAGAGAACTGCAGAAACGAAATACCAAGGAACTACCATTGCCAATCAACTAAGAGACAGTTATCTTAATAAAAGAAAAATCATAAATGGCCACTAACTATTTTTAGTGTGTTCAGTACCTTTAATTTTTTTGAAAATGCAGATTAAAATTACTTTAGGGGGCTGAAGAGCTGGGTCAGAGGTTAAGAACACTTAATGGTCTTGCAGAGGACCTGGGTTAGATGCACTCTATGTAACTCAGGTCCCAGGGAATCTGACTCCCTCCTCTGAGCCTAGGATACTCACCAGGCACACATGTAGTGCACATGCACAGGTACAGCCAAAACACTCATCCATGTAAAAGAATGAAATATAAATGAAAACGACAAAAGTGCTTTGAGATAGTCCTTCACTGAATGGCTGTCATCAATAAATCTGACAGCTAATGTTGTCCTTCAGGGCGATGTAGTCCTGGCCATCGTAGGCCTCCTTACAGTACCCACAGAGCGGGCGGCCATCTGGCCCCAGGTCGCAGGCATACATCCACTGGAGCAAGAGAGGATCTGGTGAGGACCAGGTGGTCAGCGCCAGCCGCCGTGCCCCGCTGTCAGTCCATAATCTGAATGTTCAGAAACAGAAGTTCAAAGGAAACCTATGTGAAACTCTGCGGGGTCTTTCCTGTTTGATGGTCTGGTCAGGTGTTTCGATGAAACTTCCACCCAGTGGGTCAGGATGACCCAAGACTGTCCCGGGGGAGATTCAAGGGGCCGCGGTCACTCACCATTGTCACTCTGATTGTAGTAGCCAAGCGGGGTCTTCAGGTTCCATCTGAAGTTCTGAACGTGCTCCTGGCTTTTTGTGTCCCCCCCTCTCAATAATCCGGCCCCTCCTGCTCTACAAACAGCGCGGGCGGCTCCATTCTTGGAGTCTAGCTGTTGAACTGAGTGTCATTTGCTTAGCATGGAGATTCCCCATGGCGGGGCCGGAACGAGGCTGTGTGGAAATACCGCAGCCAGTGAGAGCCTGCAGGAGGCGAGCAGTGAGACCCCAACTGTCCTCCTGTGCCCAGGGTCCCAGGTGGAGGAGAGAAGACAGGAGGGATCAGGGCCTCTAAGATAAGCTGACAGGATACTGCCCCCTCCTGGCGCCCTGCTCCTTCCCTCAGAGTCCTTTTCCCTCCCCACCCCTTTACTCTCAGCTGGGTTCTGGGTCAGGACTATGGCACTAGCCAGCAGCTAGACCAAAGCCACAGAGGGCACAGTCCTTACTCTGGGGTCTGTGATGAATGTGGACTTTGTTCCTGTTGACTGCTGGACTTGGAAACTCTGTGGCTGACGGCTTCTCTGGAAACTAGGTGTCCTACAGGCATGAGAATTCTGAGTGCGTCATTTGTGTGCAGTAAGAAACAGATCAGGGCTGAGAGACAAAGGGATACTGTGCATATGACACCAGTGCTGGGAACCAACCCGGAGTCTTTATTAAAGAAAATGCAGTCAGAGCCATGACAGGACTTGGGATTTTAACCAGACCCATGTTGTCTGGCACTCATGCCTCTTGGGTACATCGTTTCTCTGAGTCTTAGTGCAGTCTGTGTAAGTTTTAGTTCATTTAATTTATTTTAAAATTATGTTCGTGTGGTTTTGTGTGTGAGTATAGGTGTGCAGTGCCCGAGGAGGACAGATTTCCTGGAGCTGGAGTTATAGTGAGTGTGAGCTCCATGTGAGCGCTGGGAACCAACCCCAGGTTCTTTGTAAGATCTAGATATGTGCTCTTGACAGCTGAGCCATCTCCCCAGTCTGTGGGAGGAGTCTTCTTAATTCTTTGTTTCATGTAATCTTAGATATTATATTCTAACTACCCAAGTGGTAGTTACTAGGTGGTTAATTACAAGGTGATTCTATCATTGAATGTTTGTGTTCTGCTCTATGAAAACCACTGGCTCTGAGGCTGCAGAGAGACCTCAGCCACTGAGAGAACTTGCAGCAGCTCACAACTGCCTGTCATCCAGTTCCAGGACGTCTGCCTCCCTCTTCTGGCATCCCTGGGCAGTACAGGCATGTGATAGACTTGTCTTCATGTGGGTAAAATACTTCTGTACATAAAATTAAAAAATTTTTAAAAACAGAGGTGGGAGGGAGGGAGAGAGAGAGAGAGAGGGAGGGAGGGACGGAGGGTGACAGGGTGGGATGGAGGGAGGGAGGGAAGGAGGGAGGGAGGAAGAGATTCCATTTGAAACAAACACTATGGGGTCTATCTTCCAATGTGCTACTTAATAATGGATCATTTTTGAGGCTTAATCGATTTAATTAATCAATTAATGTTTGAAACAGACTCTTGGAGTGTAGCCTGAGCTGGTCTCAAATTGATGTTCCTCCTGGGAGAGGAGAAAACCAAGCAGGGTCAAAGGGCATACCTCTAGTAGAGGAGCAGGGAAAAGAGGCACCTTGACAAGAAGACAGGATGGAGGGGGCGGTGGGGTCTGTAATCACCTAGGACACAAATCTCCTGTCTGTGAGAGAGGCTCCAGATTAGGTTCTTGAGGTGGGAATAGGTGTGGCATCTTTCCACAAGCAGTGGTCAGAGGAGAAAGAGCAAGCTGGGCAAAGAACTCAGCCAACCCCCCGAGTTCCTGATGGTAACTGCGATGTACAGGCCACGTCCTGTACAGGCCACCATGCTGTCCCCTCCCTGGTGGGCTGAATTCCTGGGACTGGGCAAAATCGGCCTTTCTTCTCTTAAGTCTTCTTGTTGGGTATCTGCTAACAGCAGTGAGAACACTAATAATGCAGACATTTAATACCGGAATGGGTCAGTGATATGATAAACCTGCCTATGTGGTTCTTAGGCCCTTGGAACTGGTTGTAGCAAGAATGTGGAAGAGTTAGGAACTTTGGACTGGAAAAGCCCTAGAGAGTTGCAGGCAGAGCTTAGGGGGGAGTTGCAGTGGGGATTTGGAAACCAGAATGCCCAGAGCAATGCAGACAGTGTAGGTAATTTACCTACTAACC